GTTTCTCAATTGTACTTATTAATTATATTAGCTAAATATCTCGTCCCCAATGGTTCAGTGGTAAGTTTGAAAGATTATAGTGCTAAAAACCAGGCGTCGGTACCTGTGGAGGGCACAGAACCTATAGCCCATTTTGTAGCTTGTGATTGACAACAAACAACAACCAAATATTTTACTATTTTAACTGAATCAGATAAAAAATTAAATGCTTGCGTCATTATAATGATATTTTTTCATTTTCTATTTTAGTACTTGCTTCCCTGCTGACTCGGCGGTAAGCCTGAAGGATTATCAAAATTCGGAGATCGATCCCTGCGCTAAGCACAAGAGAAATAACCAAAATACAGCTTTGCGCTTAAAACAACCTAATGAATACATTTCATTACATGATAAAAAATGGAATTTTCTTGTTGCTTTTATTTATTTTAATATTATAATGTTTTCAACTGTATTTTTCCTCGATTCTCGTTTTGTTTATAATAGCAATGCAAGAACTTTTTAATAACTATCATTTCTATAGTAATTATAAAAATACCAGTTTTTGCATTTTTTAATTATATTAATTCTACTTTTGTGTATCGTAATATTCTACTTAAGGGAACGAAATCCAGTTGTATTACTGGAAATTTAAGAGTTGTGTTTAACGATGGTAATAAAACACACTGAATTGAAAATAAAATAAAATAAGTTATGAAAATATAACACCTTAACAAATAAAATATATTTATTGGATTTTTATTACTACAGATTTTGTGATTATTAAACAACCGAGATATAAAAGTTGGTGAGAAAAATCTGAACTATCACCATTTTGTTTAATATTTCTCTCAATTCTACAAACAACGAAGCTCAATAGATCTGAGCTTCGTTGTTTATAGAAAGAGGACAATTGGTATTGAATAGATAGCTTCGTTGTTTATAGAAATAGAACAATTGGTATTGAATAGATCTGAGCTTCGTTGTCTATAGAAAGAGAACAATTGGTATTGAAAGAACAATTGGTATTGAATAGATCTGAGCTTCGTTGTTTATAGAAAGAGAACAATTGGTATTGAATAGATCTGAGCTTCGTTGTTTATAGAAAGAGAACAATTGGTATTGAATAGATCTGAGCTTCGTTGTTTATAGAAAGAGAACAATTGGTATTGAATAGATCTGCTTTCTATAAACAACGAAGCTCAGATCTATTCAATACCAATTGTTCTCTTTCTATAAACAACGAAGCTCAGATCTATTCAATACCAATTGTTCTCTTCCTACAAGCAATCAATATTTTTATAGTGCATTTTACAGGAACAATGACATCAACATCTTCAACAGTCTAAAAGAAACTCATTATTGAAAGAGTGTTGACATGCAACACTTTATTTTTTCTTTTTATTACTGGATTTTAAATGTAGCCTAATAGTTAGCATGCCGTTGAAACTGCTTGCATTTACAGATGTGAGGGCACTATAACTGTGACACTCCACTTCGTTATAAGTTAGTTACGAGTGTTTTGTTGCCTTCCATCAAGTCAACGGTTCAAAATTAGGCGGCTATGCCTGAGCCTTAGGTGGTTTCTGACCTGGACGTCTATAGTCATATCTTGTGTAAAGTGCCATTCAAGATATAAAACAAAACAGTAACCTATCACTGGTTTCTTACACTTTTAGAAAGAATTACTTTATTCCAAGCATTCTTATGAGTCAACTATTGTATTACAATAGAATGACTTACAATAACTTATGCTACAGCTCACAAAACATATTATTTGTTTTCTTGTCCTTCACATCATGCAGAAACATATGAAATGGTAGATGCAAATCCTCATAAAATTTCAACCAGGTGTTTTAAAAAAAACAATATCGATCTTCCTGACATAACTATAATTACCATCCCTATTCAGATTGACTTTATTATCGATTAGATCTCAAAATACTCAAACCATGAAAAACAAACGCAGGAAAATAATTCATACACAGTTACTAAGTTATGAAATCAGAAAGTAGTAACTTTATACTAAAAGTAGCCGTTCAATCTCAGTCCTGGTGACTACAAAACAAATCTCTTATATTCTATTTTCAAGCACAAATTTACAAAACAATGGCAAAAATTCTTTTGTTTTTCAAACGCACTATATTCAGAATAAACTCAATTCTGCAGGCATCTTAGGTTGCCAAAATAGTTTTTTCCTGCTTACAAAGTCTTTAGTTTAGTTTCTGTCTTTTAGATTATTTTTAGAAATTTTAGATTTATGATTCTATGCTCACTATTTTCATTGCTAAATTTCATTGATATCATGTCTTGCCTGATTCTTTCTCTCACTCGATAATAATTTTATTCATTTCAATTACTCGCATTAATTATTTCAAAAACTATCTTTTAGTTTGTTTGTTTGTAATTAAGCACAAAGCTACACAACGGGCTATCTGTGCTCTGCCCACCACGGGTATCGAAACCCGGATTCTAGCGTTGTAAGTCCGCAGACATACCGCTGTGCCACTGGGGGGCCTATCTTTTAGTTTTTGTGAATTTTATCAGATAATATATATATATATATATATATAATTATTATTATTTTCTAATAGAGGTTGAAGTAAATGAATATCGAATTTCACGTATAGTCAACATATATTATATAGGGGAAATTGTTATCAAGTGTTTCTTTCATCCATAAATCCATTTTGAAATAGAAAACTCAAAATGTGTAAGATAATGTAATACGGATCCTTTCATCCACTTGATTTCACAAGATATTCGGATTACAATAGATTTCAAGAGAGAATGGTATTCAAGGCATAACAGAGGATATAAACTACAACATATTTACTTCAGAAAGACGGACAGTTAACACAGTCTTAACTTGAAACTTCTTTGTGAGAAAGATGTATTATAGCATACTTAATTATGGCCTTATATAACATAGGACAGTCAGTTTCTCCATAACTATAGATTTTTCACAATGATAAAACTTTACGAGTAAATTTGGGGCAAATAATAGATATTCTTCTACATAGTGTATGGAATTGTATGCAATGTGTGAATGAAAATACTACTAATAACAATCCCTTGTAACGTTTACATAGGCAGACAATGTACTTAGGTTCAGAGTTCCCTATTACAAACATTACGAATTTATTTTACTTTCGACCCCCTGATAACTTATAAGAAAGAAACGAACCATAAATTTGTCTATTTCAGTCTATTGGGGCCATCGCAAGGTACCGTTGTGCAAAGTCTCAATTAGCTTGGCCAAAACATGAAGGAATGGCAAACCTAAAGCTTTTGTCTTCTATAAACCTAGAAGAAAGTCACGAATCCGAAATATGTCTGTTTTAGTCTGTGGAGGCTGTCCCAAGGTGTCGTTCTGCAAAGTCTTCTCTGGATTGGTTGAAACATAACGAAATGATAGACCAAAACTCCTAATTTTGTTATTTTTACCCCTGCAAAACCAAAAAAAGGACACGAATCCAAAATCTGTCTATTTCAGGTTATGTGGTTGTCACCAGGTATCTTTGTAAGAAGTGTTATTTGGATTGATGTAAGTATACATTTGGCCTGCAGTTCCTTTATACTTACATCAATCCAAATGAGATATAAAAATACGTACTTTGGCCTGTATTTCCTGTATACTTACATCAATCCAAATGAAGTATAAACATACATACTTTTGGCCTGCAGTTTCTATATGTATTTATAATGTGTGATTTTTTTTGTCCTTTAAAATCGAATAGGGGAGAAAATGAGAAATAAACCATGGCGTGTTAGACTAAAGTATATGTTTCAAGACGATGATCGGCCAAGAAATAATGGAGTAGTGTATAATTGTTATTGCTGGAAAAAAGAAGAAAAATAAAACATATAGAATACATTGTCTTCCTTTCTATAAGAGTGATATAAAAACTGTTTATTACATAATTACCATTTTGTAACCAAACATTTGATTTATCTTCACAAATGTTCTATTAATATTCATAACTATAACTTTAATGTGAACAGAAACAACTATTTTGACGGGAAACAGCTTATTGAAGCTAGTTATAGTTAAAGTGATTTTTTTTTTAAAAAGAAATATTGTAAATTTTTAGAAGTTAAAATATCTATAATTTATGAGCAAATTTCAAATATCTGATAACCTTATTAGTTTTACCTTGTTATTTGTACCTCTGTGCGTTTCATTCTTCACAATATACCATTACTTGAGTATTGACTGAAAACAGTAATGTATTTTATTATCTCAAAAGCTAAAATATCTGTAATTTATGAACAAATTTCAAACACCTAACAACCTTATTAACTTTTACCTTGTTATTTGTACCTCTATGGGTTTCATTCTTCACTGTATACCATTGCTTGAGTATTAATTGAAAATACTAACGTATTTTGTGATCTAAAAAGTCACTAATACGTTAAGAATTTCAATTTTACATATTGAAAATATAATATGACCAGTACACTGTTTTATCATATTAATATTTTTCAGTAAAATATTGTTTCATCTAGCTGTAATAACTAAAACAGAAAATGTATTTTGTAAATTCGTGTACCAGTTCTTCTATGATTTGAACAAAGAGAGAAAAATTTCTGAACGAATAATTTTGTATAGTATGTTTTATAATATTGCTTCAAATAACACATATTTTAAATATTAATGATTTTTTTTATGGAATATTATTCCAATTTTTAGGGTTGCTGTCATTTTGTTTATATTTTTATTTTTTTACTGTAGGGTAAAAGGAATGTTTAAATTTGAGTCTAGATGATAATGACGTAAAACTTCTACAGCTAACTCTTGAAGCTTACTTCCGAAAGTCAAATTTCATTTCTAAAATTGCCATAAAGTAATAAACGCATTGTTCATGCTTGCATTTTCATAAGTTGAAAATACAACTTCTGAGTTTATTATCATCGAGTTTTCTCTATATTCCTATAACACTTGATTCGTTGCAGATGAAGCAAGCCTACACTGTCCATATGACTGCCACGGCCATGGAACCTGCAACGTCGGTATTTGTTCTTGTGAACCTGATTATGCAGGAGACTCTTGTGCTTATAGTAAGTCTTGTTAGCTAATTTATTTTTATTTTTTTCGTATTGCTAACTGAGCCTTATGTCTTTTAAATATTATTTAAGATTGTGTATAGAACAGGTGGTTTACTTGGATAAACCAAAACCTAACTTGGCATTTCATGTACTTTTGCTTATTATTAAACACTACAATGTTTTTTTAAGTATTATGTTCATGTACTAATGTATCTTACAGAAAGAAACGCTCTTCAAAGCCTCACACAAGTATTTTTTCCTGATAATTTTCTAATGAACTAGTATTTTTCGCGAATATCTTAAAGTTTATATCACAATAATGTTTTGATGCTGAGTTACATAAAACTTCTTATAAACCTTTGATAAATTAATTTGTCGTCATTTTTAGATATGGAGTCAAACTAGGCTTTTCTTCCATTTCTATAATATTTGAGCTTTTTTTAATACTGAAGCTAAATAATACCATGTTATTGAAAATACCAGGAGTCTGTCCCGTACTCTGCAGTGGGAGGGGACACTATACTTCTGGGGAATGTATATGTAATCCTGGATGGAAAGGAAAAGAATGTCAGTTTAGAGAAGATGAATGCGAAGTTGTAGATTGCAACGGTCACGGAGACTGCGCAGATGGAAAGTGTCAGTGTTACCCAGGTTACAAAGGCGATTACTGCGAAGAAAGTAAGAAACTATAAGTATTCTATCATATCTCTTTCGAAAGTCTTGTAATAGCTTAAAAGATCATTATGGTCTGATTTTTGGCCTAACTTTATCAATCATAATAGTATATAGAAAACATTGTGTACTCTAAACTAATCAAGTAAATCTCTGAAATTTGATCATTTCATGTATGTTTTACCAGAATAAACATCAAGTATACTTCTTGGCATGTGGGTTACAGTATGTATAAAAATAAAGCTACACTTAATAGTGAAGTTTATTAATGAGTTTTGAAATGAATTTATTGTTAGAGATATATCGAATTTTTATGCCATTTCTATGAAATACAACGTGGATGAATTGTTTCAAATAAAGTAATATACCGTTATATACCTATTTTTTACACAAAATATTTAAATTAGTTTTCTTTCTTAATTCTGAATTCTATACAAGAATGGAACATAGAAAAAATTCATTCATTATGATCCTGTATGGATATTTTTATATGGTGATTGCACGTGAAATAGTTTACTTCGTTATGGTACCAACCTATGATTGAATTAAACGCAAATAAATATAGATCAGCAAATAAACTGAAGCCTAAGTTTTTAAGATACAAAGCAATGAAGACTTATCTTTCTTCAAATTTTCATATAGAAACAAATTGAACTTAGAAAATATGCATTTTATGTGAGCGCTTGTAAAAAATAGCATGCATACCCAATGAGAATGAGTAAAATAGCTTAGTTGTTTAGCGTTTAAATAAATAAAACACTTGCTTTTAGCAAATTAGCATAATGAATCTTATGTGGCCTGACAATATATATTCAAGGCCTAACAAGCAGTTTAGTGCTTAACAGGTTGTACTGATATTGACCTTTATGACTTAGAATGTCATACATATTTTTCAGTAAAAGGGTTACAAAATATTCATGCTTCTGGAAGCTTGAAAGAAACCAAAGTATTTAACACTTTATTACAAGAGTTAATCTATTCTTAAACAATAGGTTCAGAATATTCTAAGACTTGCATGCATTTATAGTCCTTGGACTAATGATTGAAGGATATTAAAATAACTTCTGGTGCAAAAGACTTGTATAGCCAAGAGAAACCTCTGCTAATCTTAGTTAAAATGTATATATAACTTCATTACCGATGAATTACGATATAAAGTAAGAAATACTGTTTAACTAATGTAAATGCAAAACATTTTTCCCTAGGTTTGTAATCACCTTGCTTTTTATATAAAAAAATTAAACTTTTTGTTATTAATTATCATTCTAGAGATCTAATATTCTAAGGAGTCAGTGAAATGTAAAACAAGTGTTAAAGATCTAATATTCTAAGGAGTCACCGAAATGTTAAAAAGGTGTTTGAATTTCTAAAATAAATATTTTAAGTAAACAGTTACAAAAAGCACCCATATTCATACAATTAACATTTTTCTATATTTTCAGAACAGTTTGTGGAATTTTTCACATTACAAAAAATTGGTATGCAGATACAAAAGTTTACTAATTAAATGAAATTCTACATGTTTATTTTCCCTGCGTATCGTTCTAACACTCCACGTACTCAAATACTATATGTTAACTTGTCTGCATATTGTCATAACACTCCACGTACTCAAATACTACATGTTAACTTGTCTGCATATTGTCATAACACTCCAATACTCAAATCCTACATGTTAACTTGTCTGCATATTGTCATAACACTCCAATACTCAAATCCTACATGTTTATCTTGCCTGAATATCATTATAACACTCCACGTACTCAAATCCTATATGTTTATCTTGTCTGGATATCATCATAACACTCTATTACTCAAACCCCATAAGTTTGTTATACCTATGCATCCTCATCACATTCTAGATACTCAAACTCTATATGTTTATCTTGCCTAGATATCATCATTCCACTTTAGATACTCAAACCCAATGTGGATTATTTCTTAAAGTATCACCATAACACTCTTCATACTCAGATCACATGTGTTTATTAATCTTAGGTATCATCATCACACTTAAACTCTATTTATGCTTACCATAAACGAACTTAAAACCTTTAACGATTCCTTTGTTTTTCCTTTGTTATTGAGATGCTTCCTCATGTTAAAGACGGGTACATGTTTTTAATCATCACAGGTTATGGTTTATCCTTAAATTATTTTTCTGTATACGTTTAATAACAATTACATAAAAGTGTTTTAGTTCACTCCAAAAATATGGCATGACTAGAAATTGTTTAAAGAAATCATTTGGAAATAAATTTCCGAAAGAAAAACAGCAACAACAAACAAACAAACTAACATAGAATATCGATTAGGGTATGATAAAAATAACGATTTGAATATAAGCTTTTGTCTTAAAATAAAAAAAGGATTATGTCAACAGATGATTGAACAATGCTATTTTATAAAATCCGACTCATATTTTATATTTCTAGAGAATTAATAAGTTTTGCCAAAGAACCAAGAGAATTTCATTTTAAAATAACAAACAAAACACATACTGTTCATCCTGCAGCAGCTGAACAATATGTAAAGATTCTCCGAAGAGGTAGAAATGTAAATTCATTAAAATTTCTGGGTTTTGAAATAAAACTTGAAAACAAACGTGAGATATTCTAAACGGAAAACAATATTAATTTATAAAATAGATAACATTCCTGTCGGTTCGTTTTGACAGAAAAAGGCTAAACAAATCATTCGGCGCTTGATTTATTTATTCAATACTGTTTTGTTTGCTTCCAAAGTGATGAGATAAAAATAACAAAGATCGAAGTGGAAAATCAGTTGCAAAACATCGGTATAGAAAGGTCGCCGTCATCGCAAAGTTAGTTTTCTCTAGAAAATTGCTATATTTACTTCGAACTACATTATTCAAACGTTACTTAAAATCTGATAGAAATGGCAACTCTCTTGAACATAGTCCCTTGAATCGATGGTGGAGGAAACTGAAATGGAAGGGCACTAATTTCTTGGAGAAATGCAGTTATGAAAAATTTATTTGATAAATGCACGTTTGTGTGTGTGTGCATAGCAGTGATGGGCAAATGCTTAATTATTTTTTCTATATAGTAAATAAGTGATTAATAATTTCAGCCGTACGTTAAGATAAATATATTTCTTGCACATATATTTGCTGGTATCGTATACGGATATAAATGAAGCAATATATTATAAAATTTTAAAATAACTCGAGAATTTATTCGTACTACAGTTGGTTGTTTAGATCCAGATTGTTCGAGACACGGTATTTGTGTCAGTGGAATGTGTCTCTGTCGGAAAGGATGGAAAGGAGCAGATTGCAGTGAGCCGGATAGTGATACATTGCGTTGTCTGCCCAATTGTTCCGGGCATGGACAATTTGATTTTGAGCTTCAGCGTTGTGTCTGCAACGACCATTGGAATGGCCCCGACTGCTCCCAAGGTAGGTTTTAAACTTTATCTAGTTACGAATTTTCATTAACATACGCTCCGATGGGACAGCGGTAATTCTATAGACTTAAAATGTTAAAATCCTGTGTTCGATTCCCCGTGGTGGACACAGCAAATAGTCCGATGTGGCTTTGCTATAAAACAAACAAATCATTAACATATCTACATCTAATACATTTCAACATTTTCTAACGTGTGTACGTCATGTTATTTTATGAAGTGAATTATTTTGCCTTACAGTTGTTTTTTGACAAATACATACCAGCCAGTTTCTGATGATGAATATTTGCCAACAGTTTGTGCTAGAAATAACTTCAAAGAAAATGATGAAATGAAATATAACGAATTAGATTATGGAATATCGGACAATACAATAGTAAGACAAAACTATAAAAAAAAAAAAACTACAAGTGTTGCATAAGATGGTTGCAAGTTCTCATATATAATGAAATAGAGAATATAGAATTTTATAATTATTTTTCCTTAACCGGTGTCATTGTCCCTTTAGTATGACATTAAAAATTCTGATAAACATTATCACAGGAGCCATTATTACCTGTGTACTTTTTCCAGGATTCTCTCGAGTCACAACTATCCTATAATGGAGAACTTAATGTTTAAGATTAAATATGTCAGAATATCGATCTTTCGAGTATTGACAAGTGCAATTGACACAACTCACGGTATATTAATCCAGAGATAAAACACGTCTAAAGCATTTAGTTTATCTTGGACTTGCGAAATACAAAAGGATATATTTTTTGCTTAAAAACTAACTGACACGTCCATCTCTGTTCGAAATATTTTCAACGTTTTCAGGAATAAACTTTAAAAAGTGACTAAAAGTTGTGGCTAGTTAACTTTTTATTGAAGGGTAATTTTATGGGAGCATTGCTTACTTCTTTGTTACTAGATGTGCATTTTGTGGCAAGACCATACAGATACCACTTCCCCCCCCCCCAAAAGAAATCATAACTGAAATTGTTAAACAAAAATGTTAATGTCGCTCTTTATACGTGCTTCCTTTAAAA